CTGCTGTTTCAGCCTCTGCTCAAAATCTGGAGGGCAAGAGATTTGGTTGCTATGCAATGTGTATGCTGCCCTTGTTTTCTAAGAGGGAGATTAAGTTTTCAGAAGGGTTTTGACCTGTAATTTTTCCATTCTGGTTCACTCAAATTTTGAAAAATCGAGTCTGCTCCAGTTTTGCTTCCTTGGCCGTGACTGAACCGGGAAGAACTGGTTCGCAGCCCTGGTTCTGAAGGATACAAAGATGAATAAAACATTGTTCCTGTTGCAAGGAACTAATCTAGTAGAGAGAATACCAAAAAACCAAACCTACTGCTGTTGAGTCAATTCCGACTCTTAGCGACCCTATAGGACAGGGTAGAATTGCCCCATAGGGTTTCTAAGGCTGTGAATCTTTACAGAAGCAGTCTACCACATCTTTCTCTTGCGGAGCAGCTGGCGGTTTCGAACCGCTGACCTTTTGGTTAGCAGCCAAGCACTTAACAATTGTGCCAGTAGGGAGAATAGAGGCACCGAAAAGTGAAAGTACTAATAGGAACTTGATGGGTGCTATAAAGGTGTTCATACAGAGTGTTTAGGGGTTAAATGAAGGGAGTGATACTGTTTCCTTCGAGATGTCAGGGACTGCTTCAGCCAAAGAGGTGGCATTTAAGTTGCACTACGAGGATGAGAAGTGATGGAAAGAAAAGGGTGTGTTAGAGGGAAGGACAGCTTGAGCAGTTTTTTTTTTTTTTTATGGTTGGGTGGCTGGAAGAATGGGACGTCGGTGTAGGGAAATCAGGGGGAAGAACAAGTCTTAGGGGTTTAGGATAGAGAAAAGATGAATTTGGTTTTGATTGAGTGGAGTTTAAGAAACTAGTAGAAAGTTTAAATTAGAATTTTAATCCTGGAAGGAACTTTAGAATTTTATTTGGGCCATCAGATGAGGAAGTTTGGGGCCCAGAGGACTCAGAGGAATCAGTGAGGTCTCATGTAGTTAAAGTGGAGCTAAGACTGAAGCTTAGCTTCAGTTTATTCCAAAGAAAGGTGACCCATTCTAAAGAAACATGACCCAGCAGAATGCAGAAATTATTGAACAATATCACTAATATTAGACACAAGTAAAATTGTGTGAAAATCATTTAAAAACGGTTGCAGCAGTACATCTACAGGGATTCAAGCTGGATTCAGAAGAGGACGTGAAACAAGGGATATCATTGCTGATGTCAGATGGATGTTGACTGAAAGCAGAGAATACCAGAAAGATGTTTACCTCTGTTTTATTAACTGTGCAAAGGCATTCAGCTGTGTGGATCATGACAAATTATTGATAACATTGTGAAGAATGGGAATTCCAGAACACTTAGTTGTGCTTCTGTGGAACCTGTACATAGACCAAGAGGCAGTTGTTTGAATAGAACAACGGGATACTGCATGGTTTAAAATCAGGAAGGATGTGTGTCGGGGTTGTATCCTTTCACTGTATTTATTCAGTCTGTATGCTGAGCAAATAATCCGAGAAGCTAGACTATATGAAGAAGAACATGGCATCAGGATTTGTGGAAGACTCATTAACAACCTCCTACATGCAGATGTTGCAACCTTGCTTGCTGAAAGCAAAGAAGACTTGAAGCACTTCCTGATGAAGATCAAAGACTATAGCCTTCAGTATGGATTACACCTCAACATAAAGAAAACAAAAATCCTCACAACTGGACCAATAAGCAGCATCATGATAAACGGAGAAAAGATTAAAGCTGTCAAGAACTTCATTTTACTTGGATCCACAATCAACACACACGGAAGCAGCAGTCAAGAAATCAGATGATGTATTGCATTGGGCAAATCTGCTGCAAAAGGCTTCTTTAAAGTGTTGAAAACAAAGATGTCAGTTTGAGGACTAAGGTGTGCCTGACCCAAGCTGTGATATTTTTCAGTCATCTCATATGCATGTAAAAACTGGGCAGTGAATAAGGAAGACTGAGGAAGAATTGATGCATTTGAATTATGGTGTTGGCGAAGAATATTGAATATACCATGGACTGCCAGAAGCATGAACAAGTCTGTCTTGGAAGAAGTACAGCCTAGAGTGCTCCTGGAAAGCGAGAACGGCAAGACTTTGTCTCACGTACTTTGGCCATGTTATCAGAAGGGACCAATGCCTGGAGAAGGACATCATCCTTGGTAAGGTAGAGGATCAGCAAAAAAGATGAAGATCCTTGATGGGGTGGATTGATACAGTGGTTGTATCAGTGGGCTCAAATTTAGCGATGATTGTGAAGATGGTGCAGTTCTGGGCAGTGTTTTGTTGTGTTACACATAGGGTGGCAATGAGTAGCAACCGACTTGATGGCACCTAACAACAACAACAATTGAAGCTTCCTGATTCTCGGTCCAGCACCCCCTTTCCTGCTTCACACTGAGAAGTGGTGAAGGTTCTCAGCTGTGGTGCTTTTCTCACACCCAGTTAGTGCTCAACAGAGAGATGAAAGTGGCATAGTTTGTGTTGGGGAGCAAGAGTTTTTATTTTTTAAATAAAAAAGATTTTCTGTGCAAACTTTTCAAACATACAGAAGTGAAAAAGAAGAGTATAATCATCCCCATGTTCCCATTATCCCACTTTAGCAGTTATCAACTATTGCCCAATGTTATTTCATCTACCGCCCTCCTCCAGTTATTTTGAAGCAAATGGGATAATGTTTTATGGCAACCTTAAACTTTGTGTTGTATTTGTAGGTAAGGAGAGTTGAGCTGTTTTAGTGTGATATGTTCCTAACTTTCTGGGTGGGGTCTAGAGTAAAGAGAAGTAGGATTAACTTCCAGAATTCTTGTGCTGCCCCAGACTTTGTGTCTTTGGACAAATCACTTTAGTCTTCTGAGATTTAGTTTGTCTGTGAGATGGAGATAATACTATCAGCTTCTCTGAATCACATGAGATAAGGCATGTAAAAATCTTCTATGAACTCTAAACTTTAGAGTCTAAAATGTTATGCAAATTTTAGTTGTAACATAAAGATGGTGCCATCCCTTTGAGCTTATGTGTTGCTGCCTTGAAGTTTATATTACTCAACAAATTTTTATTATACAGCAACTACTTGTTATGCCAGGCAGCTGGGGTTTCAGCAGTGAAAAAAACAGACAAAATCCCAGCTCTCATGGAGCATCTAGATTCTAGAGTCTAGATCTAAAGGATAATAATAGTTAATACTTCTATAGTGATTACTGTGGGCCAGCTACTGTTCTAAGTGCTTTACATATTTACCTACCTACCAGTAGCCGTAGAATGGACCCTGACTCAAGACACCTACACGTGTGTCAGACTAGAACTGTGCGCCATAGGGTTTTCAGTGGCTGATTTTTTTGAAGTAGATCACCAGGCCTTTCTTCCGAGGTGCTTCTGGGTAGACTGGAATCTCCAACCTTCCTGTTAGCAGCTGAGCACATTAACTGTTTGTACCACCTGGGGACTTATTTACATGTTTAAACTCACTTAATTGTTGCAGCAATCTTTTGTGGTAGGTACTGTTATTATCCCCATTTTATTGATGAGGAGATGGAGGCACAGAAAGTTTACCTAAACTGCCTCGGGTCGCACTGTTAGGGTTCAAACTCAGGCAGATCCGGCTTCCAGCTTATACTCTTAACCACTAAGCTAGAGTATTTAAATTGATACAAATTAAAAAATTTAGGCCCAGATTGAAATTATTCCTAAAAAAAAGTAAGGATTCTCTTCTTGAAAAACCAAACCAGAACAAAAACAAATGAAAAAATGCCTATAGCTTCTGTGTAGTTGGAGGAATATTAGTATTCTTTAATAGAAAAATATATTTCTTCCAAACTTTTTATCAGCTTCACCAACTTTCGTGGCTTCCTTAGATACAAATGGCCCCCTGAAGGAAGGAAGTCATCTTTCTGCTGGCACCTGAGCAGAAACTCTTCTTGAATGGATCCTTTTTTGTTTATAGTCCCCTGCACCCCCTATTTCCTTAGTTCTGCCCTGAGAGCCCTCAGTCCTCCTTCATGGGGAGGGCATGTTGGGAAATGGGGAGTGAGCATGTCCTCAAGTTTGCATCTGGATCAGGACATGGGCCTTGCTATTTATAAGGGGGTTATTATGGCCTGTATACCTGTTTAAGAGGTGTTTTTTATAGGTGTTTTTTTTAAAAATAGAATAATACAGTTCCAGACTAGAAATGATTTTTAAGATTCTAATTCAATTAACAGTAAGCAGTAAAGAGTGCTTTTCTGTGCCTCAGCATTTCCACTTCTTTCTCCACTAGAGAAAGGCATTTTGGGCAGATCTATACTGGATCCTGCGTTTGCTGCTGTTGTTAGGTGCCGATGAGTTGGTTCTGACTCATAGCGACCCCATATACAACGGAATGAAACAATGCCCGGTCCTGCGCCATCCTCACAATCGTTCTTATGCTTGAGCCCGTTGTTGTAGCCACTGTGTCAGTCTATCTCATTGAGGGTGTTCTCCTTTTTTTGGTGACCTTCTACTTTACCAAACATGATGTCCTTCTCCAGGCATTGATCGCTCCTAATAACTTGTACAAAGTACACGAGACAGTCTCACCATTCTTGCTTCTAAGGAGCGTTCTGGCTGTACTTCTTCCAAGACAAATTTGTTCGTTCTTCTGGAAGCCTATGGTATATTCAGTATTCTTCGCCAGAACCATAATTCAAATGCATCGTTCTTCGGTCTTCCTTATTCATTATCCATCTTTCACATGCGTATGAGGCGATTAAAAATACTGTGGCTTGGGTCAGACCCACCTGAGTCCTGAAAGTGACATCTTTGCTTTTTAATACTTGAAAGAAAGTCTGTTGCAGCAGATATGCCCAGTGCAATACGTCATTTGATTTCTTGACTGCTGCTTCCTTGGGTATTGATTATGGATCCAAGTACAATGAAAATGAGTTTAGGCTTAGCTATATCTGCTCTAGGGTATGTGGAATGCAACTTCATAAGAAATCTGCTCTTCTATTCTGCCAGTGATCCTATTTCTTATACTTCTTTACAGTCTCCAGCTGTGTCTTCTCCTGGGTTTTTTAATCCTCTTTCCAGATGCTTTTAAGGGATAAGGTAATTATGTTCAAATAAACACATTTTGAGAAAACTAGATAAGTTAGAAATTAATGAGCCCAAGATCTGTATAGACTGCCCAATTGATTAAAAAGACTATAATAAAGACTATATGAGTTTGAAGGAAATTGAAATATTACTCCTGAATATTAGCTATAATTTCTTATCATGTGAAATAAATTACCTTGTTTCTATCACTTTTTTTAATTTGGAAAAAGTAAATCAAGTAGTACATAAAATTAGAATATATTTTATACTTAAGAGAAAATTATAGCTTTTGTGTGTTAGTTTGGGATTTGAACTACTTTTTTTTTTTTTTTAAGCTAAAGAAAACCATTAATTTAACTTATATTATGAAAATTTTCAAGACTATAGCAAAGTTGAAAGAATAGTATAATCAATACCCAGGTGTTGATATCTTGCCACAGTTTGCCTTCCCTTTCTTTTTCTGTCTATGATGAAAGTAAGTGACAGACATCTTGAATGATACTTCATCCCTTCTTCAACATGTATTTGCTAAGAATGAAGACATTCTCCTCTATAAACATAATCCAGTTTTCACACCTAAAAAAATATTAAGTCAGTAATACCATCAAATACCAAGTCCATATACAAATTTCTCCAGTTGTCCGCAAAATTTCTTTTATTCCTTTAAGTTATTATGTTTCATTCACATCTTTTAATCTGGACTAGTTCCCCCTCCCCTTTTTGTTTTTCGTTTCAATGGAACATTTTGCTTGTTGAAAAATTAGAAAATATAGATGAATTTAAAGAAGTGATTATAATCCCATTACCCAGAGATATCCACTTTTTATTTTAATATACTTTTTATTTTGGAATAATTTTCAACTTTACAGAAAAGTTGCAAATGTAGGTCAGGGGTCTCATATACCCTTAACCCAGTTGCCCACATTGTTAACATCTTACATTCCAGGGTATGTTGTTAAATCTGAGGAACTAACATTGGTACATTACAATTAACTAAGCTCCAGGCTTCTTTGGAATTCTTCAGTTTTTTCACTAATGTGCTTTAGTGAAAGGAGCAGTAGATACAGGATCTCTTCAAGACCCCACACTGAATTTAGTTGTGATGCCCCCTTAGCATCCTCTGGTCTGTGACAGTTGCTTAGTCTTTCTTTGCTTTTCATGACCTTGACAGTTTTGAGGTGAGCTGATCAGTGTCCCTCAGTTTGGGTTTTTCTGATGCTTTCCTCATGATTAGAGGGGTTAAGGGCTTGGAGGAAGGAGATATCTTACTTTTAATATTTTATTTTATATCCTTCCTGATTTGTTACGCAAAATATTTAATACATATTGATGTACATTTTATAAAAATGGGATTATAGACTCTATTGTAGTCTCCTTTTTAATTTAAAAATGGGAATACATTCTATTATTTTGTAACCAGCTTTTGTCACTTTATATCTTTCCAGTAATCCCTGTTCTTAACATTATGTAGGAAAAGTGTTCCACATTCTGAACATCTGACTTGAAAATATAGTTTTAGAACGTAATCTGTTGGCAAATTGAAGACAGCCTTTAAGTGTGGTGGTGGTGATACCCCCCTTTTTTTTTTTTAAAAAAAAAAAGGATTATGTAGTTCTTTATACTGATCTATTTAAAAAGCTCAACTGTTTGGATTATGATGTGATTACATGTCTACACAGATAATCTGAGAGGAAAAATGAAGAAATACAAAGAAGAGAAAATGCTTTATAACAATAAAACTTTCTTGGCAAGCAACCTTTTCTTTAAGTCCGTCTTTTAGTATAATTTGCTTGCTTCTTAAGTATGGGTTTTTTGTTTTTTAATATCTTTATTGATTAGTAAACATGTTAAATGAGGCTCAAACTCTTCAAAAAATAATTTGGAGTTATTGAAGCTAAGAAGGCTATCTCCAGAATTGCTGGGAATTCTAAAAAATGGATCAGGAAAAGTGGAAGCAATAGATGGGAAAAAAATCTTAATTTTAGCTGGTGATAAAAATTTTTTAAAATTTAGTTTGTCTTTTTTATTTTTTTATAGTTTTAGTCACTAAAATAGATGGTAGAAAGTCCATCAGGAGATTTCTTTTACGCATTTAAGATATTTTATTTTGCTATATTGAATTTAGGAGAATTTACCTCTTTATGAAAGAGATTGTTCTAAGTAGAGTATGGTTGATGATCTTAGTTTCTAGTTTCCTTCTCATTATAGGCTTAGTATCTCTTTTAATCTAACGCTTCTTGCATATTCTGTCATTTTATAAAACTTTTTTTTGCTTTCCAGCCTGTGTACCCCATAGAACCATCATAGATTCCAGTTTGGGATAAAAGCGGATAGATTTAAAGATAATACAACATTTCTCTTTCCGAATTGGCTTTCTAATGGGAACTAAATTTGGTACAGGACAGTTCTTGGGATGCTTGGCATTTAGGTTATTTTAGATTATCTCTTTAGGAAATTCAATTAAAGTATTTATTGACTGGTTTTAATGAATTGAGTGGTTATCAAGGGGATATAAATGGTATAAAACATGACTCCTATGTTTTTGGATAGTTGTGTTGAGAAGATAAGGCATCTTACATGATATATTTAATCCATGATAATAGATTATTAAGAAGTCACATGATTCTGTAGGAAGTAATACTGGTTTTGGGGGAAGAGGGCATCTTAGAGAAGAAGGCCTTAAAGTGTTCGTTAAAAGTTGGGTAGGGTTTAGGTCCAGAGAGAAAAGAGGGCAGAGGGAATGGCAATTTCAGAGACTCAGAGGCGTTACTGTGTACTTGGGGCTTGTGTCGGGGAGTGGTGGGGAAGGTAGGCTGTAGCTGCATTGTGGGTGGCCTGGATATCTGGCTAATGAGTGTGGTCATTTTATAGGCATTCAGGAACCATTGCTCTATTTCTAGAGTAATGGTTCTTAACTTTTTTTGTCCTTGAGGAAGCATGACACATTTTCATTAGTCACATTGTTTTCAGGATCCTAAATGAGTTTCTGCAGGGAAGATAATAATGTATTAGGCAGATTAAAAGTAAATTACTGACTTTTAACAAATGTGAGTCTCCATTTTTTTTTTCTAGTCGTTCTTGTTTAAATTTTTGTTTTCCTAGTTACGTAAAGAAATGAATGTATTTTATTATATTTGACTTTAAGTTTTCCTGTGGTTTTATTGTTTATATATTCTAATAATTAAAGATATCTTATGGTTGAATCAAGAACCAATTATGGATTTTAGCAAATAGTAAATAATAAAGAGGAATGTCGTCAAAGTAGATAGTGGTGATGCTTAGTACGATTCACCAGTCTTCTAAAACCTTTACAGATGGAGTCTGATTCATTCCACCTAACTCAATTATGAGGTGGATAGTTTTTTTCATTCTAATAGAGACAAGCATATATGACACTGATGCAGAAATAATCTTGAATTTAGATTGAAGACATTTTCAGTACTAATATTGTGATTGGAAACCCTAGTGGCGTAGTGGTTAAGAGCTACAGCTGCTAACCAAAAGATTGGCGGTTCAAATCCACCAGGCACCCCTCGGAAACTGTATAGGGCAGACCTACTCTGTCCTATAGGGTTGCTATGAGTTGGAATCGACTCGACAGCAACAGCTTTGGCTTTGGTTTTAATATTGTGATCCTGCTATTTGATCACAGTTTATTTGTTCTGTATAGCCTGTCTCCAGTCAAATAAATGATTTAGGTTTTTTGAAATAGAGAGGACCGTGACTACATTAACAAGAGAAGTTAGCGTAACTGATTTTTAAATAAAAGTACATTTTCATGACTTGATTTCAAGGTGGCCTGGTGGTTATTCTTATACTGTCACAGAAAGCAGTTCATAGTGGGAAGAGAATGATGCTTATAAATCACCTCTGTTACTGAAAATGTCTTAGCCGGGACAAATCTGCCTACCACCTCTGTGATACACTATCGATTTCATTTTTCTGCCAATATTTGCTTTTGGTTCTGGACCAACTATCTAGCCACGAAGGAATTCTTCAAAAGTATCCTCGATTCTGTGCCAAGTAAACTTGATTGTTCTGTTTGTAGATGTTCTTTTTGGGCCTCTGTTCTTGCCTCTAAAACCCACATATGCAAAAGGGGATATGAATGAGTTTTCCATTTACTATCAACAATTTATTCTTTTGTATCTATTTCTTTTCAGTTTTAAAAAACCATGTCCACTGTGACATCGAGACTCATATTTTAAAAATAACTTAAAAATGTTTATATTTTAAATGATGATTTAGTAAAGTGGACTGTTTTCATTTGGTATAAAGTTCAGTTAATTTAACGTATGTACAGTTTGTGTAACCACCACTATAATCAGGATACAGAACATTTCTATCACCCCAAAAAACTCCCTTGTGCTGTCTTTCTATGGTCACCCATTCCCCAGCATAACCCCTGGCAAGCACTGATCTGTTCTCCATTCCTCTAGTTTTGTCTTTCGAGAATGTTATATAAATGGAATTGTGCAGTGTATAAACCTTTGAGACTGGATTCTTTCGTTGTGGTTAATGATCTCAGTTTCTAGTTTTCTTCTCCGTAGGGTTAGTCTTCTCTTTTTTTTGATAAAGTCCAACTTACTGATATATTTTTTTTCTATTTTGGATTGTGCTAAGATGGATGTATTTTAAAATAGCTTCCTATTCTATAAGAATGATGAAAAGTTACTTAGTGATGGGAATAGTTTCGTAAAGTTCACTTTTGTGGAAGGATACAAATATTTTCATTTTATGGTATACGTAGGACTTTTGCTTACTCAGAGGAGATGATCGGCTTAGGTTTGTGTGGTTTTTCAGGTATACTTTTATAATGTAGAACTATATAGCGAATTAGTCTTTAAGCCTGTTTCAGAGTTAAATTGCCGATGTTTTACAGTCACATTTGATGCTTTTCTGAGTGCCTGAATTTGAGTTTCTACTCTACTGGAACAGCATTAAAACCTTGATTGCTTGGGGGTTGAGAATCAGTGTAGTGAAGAAAGCACGAGCTACATCGGACTGTGGATTTGAATCCTACCTCTGCCATGAAACTGGGTAACTTGTCTTTGTGTTTCAGTTTCCTCATCTCTAAAACAGGAATGATGATAATTACTGTGAGGGCCATTGTGAGAATTAACTTAGATTATATACAGTTTTTAATAGCATTTGGCACATAGTAAGCATTCAGTAAATGGTTCTTGTGGTGATGGTGGTGGTTATTATTATGATTACTGTTCTTACTGAAGTAGCTTTATAATAAAATTCTTCAGCCAAATGTTTTGGGATTATATTTTCAAGAGGTAGAATAACCAAATAATCTGACTAAGCCATTTCTTTTCCATAATTACTTCTTTTTTTCTCTTTATACTTATTAGTAACCAATAACCATATGACCATTATTATTTAGTGTATATACATTGTTTTATGAGACACTTTACTTGTACCAGCTCATTTGGCTTTTCACATCCTGTGAAGAACTAATCAGATATAGATATTATCCGTTAGGACTCTCTTGGTTCCACATGCCTGAAATACCAGCCTAAACTGGCTTAAGCTAGGAATAAATACCTTCATTGACCTAACTGCAACGTCCAGATATAGCTAGCTGGATTCAGGGCTCAAATAAGTCATCAGGACTCAGTTTCTCCTCATAAACCAGCTCTGTCTTTTGTTGTTTAGACTTTAGTTGTAGGCAATGTGTGTTAGAAAAATGACCCCAGCATATTCAACCCCTGTAGCCTCACAGATTTTAGATTCAGCAAGAAAGTGCTGCGTGTCTCTTTCGTAGCAAATTTTCCCAAGATCTCATTGGTTCTTATGGCAGTCGTGTGCCCTCCCCTGAGCCAGTCCCTGTGTTGGTGGTTATAAGGCTTTGATTGTGCAGTTTCAGTCACATGACATCTAGGGAGCTCCAGTGGAGTCAGCTCCTGAGGAACCACATGGGTTGGAAATGGGGAAAGGTGAATGCTCAAAGGAAAACTGTGGGCTTCTGCTACCAGGAAAGGAATGAATAGTGAGCAGCAAAACATCTAATGTTAGTCCCTGTTTACATAAAGTCAGCAATAGATCAGAGGAGTTAATGAATTTGGATTAAAATATTGGTTTCTGTTTCCAGCTTGCTTGCCTACAAAATCATACCCTCCAAGTAAATGTTCCTCACGGGAGTAGGAATTTGTAGAAACTTACAGTGTGTTATGTTCTTTTGGTGAGAGTTTGGGTAGTTTTTACAGGAAGAGAAAGAATCAAGGCAGATGGGGTGGACCCCTCAGCAGTGGGTGAATGTGGTGCTCTTTCTTACACTGCTGTGATTAATGTGACTCAGCTCTGTGACTTTCATTCGCTGGGCCTCTGTCCCATGGGAGAGACTCTTAGAGACCCAGCTTGGTCAGTGTCTGCCCTTGGATCAGGCAGTTATGGCCGGGGCAGGATCATATGCTATGGCTGTGAATGTATCTGTGTATCCTAGAGAGCTGCCCATTGAGGTGTTATCTGGGAGCAGTCTTCATATAGGAGTAGTAGTTCTAGATCTCTCACTTTGTATTCTCTATAGTCTTCGTTTTTAGAATGGCCTGAGACATTTCTCATTTTGACTTTGACCAGAGTTTTCATGTTATCCCTGAGAATGCACTTCAGCTTCTTCAGAAGGTGTGGGTATATCAGGTCATACCGTTTTCTTAAAAAGCAGAGAAAACAGTTGAGCAGAGACCTGCCTTGTACTGAGATTAATACTGCAGGTTCAGGTCATCCTCAGAGAGAAACTAAATTGTGGTGGAAACATTAATATTCACTTCTGAATTGGGTACCTGAGACTAATGTATCAGAGACATTAACTCTGTAAATTAAGTAATTTTCCCCAAAGCTCTAGAAGTTAATAGTTCTTCCCCTAGTCTCTACTTATATATTAATGTTGTTCAGCTCATTCTGGCTAATATGTTTGGTGATGAATGTTGATGTTAAGTCTTTGTGATCTCCTCTCACAGCCACTCTTAGGGCTTAGCTAGTCTTTATTGATTACATACAAATGTACTTATTTTTGCAATGGCTATCTTGCAGTATCATTACCAATTTATCGAAATGAAGAAAATAGGTGAAAATAATTTTTGTGTCAAGTGGATAAAATTGTTACATAGAGTGATATTTTCCGTAAGTACGATATCTTATGTTGAGATCAGTAAAGTGATTTTCACTTTACACAAATTTACATAAATTGAAATAACAATACCTGCCACTTATTGAGCAATTACTATATTCTAGATTTTTTTTTAAGCACTTCAAACCAAAACCAAACCCACTGCCATGGAGTTGATTCCAACTCATAGTGACCCTATAGAACAGAGTAGAATTGGACCCTAGGGTTTCCAAGGCTGTAATCTTTACAGAAGCGGACTGCTGCAGCTTTCTTCTGTGGAGCGGCTGGTGTGTTTGAACTGCCGACCTTTCTGTTAGCAACTGAGTGCTTAACCACTGTGCCACCAGGGCTCCTTAACTTTCATGACCAGTGTGGTACATACAGGTACCATGTACTTTTGCCACCTCTGGGGTTTATTGGGAAGCTCCTTTCCCACAGACAGTACGTGCTGCATGCAGGCGGAGACCTGTATAACAGTTTGAAATGGAAAAAATGAGCGTGTGCCGCAAATTATTGTTTTTACAGGATATTGTATGAGGTGGTGCTGAATCAGTGTTTTTTGGTATGAAAAATATGGATTCTGATAAAAAGTTTTTTGGGGCACATATGTCTTACTGGACTCTGGGGAGGGTAGAATTAGTGGGACACATATGTCTCTCTGGACTCTAGGATGGGATTGGTGGGATAAGGAAAAAATCCACAGTACCTACTGAAATCTCAAGCATACTCAGTGATTCAGTATGCATTCTGTTAGTGAAAATACATAGTATTAACAAAAAATTCAAAGCAGAAAATAATTGGGTCTTGAAAGGTTTAAAGATTGAGTATATAGTACTCTGAGTATCTATTGGGTTATCTTATGAATAACACAATTACATTTCATTTTTAATGTTGAAAGTGTTAATTTGTTAAACGTGAACATTTAAAGTATACTGTAATTTTTAAGACGGTTTTGTTTTTAATTAAAAATTTCAAATAGAGAAAAATACATAGAATAACTATATTGTGCCCTGTGTATATTCCACCTGTATTTTAACAAATGCTCATGAATACTGTTAAAGTTCTTTTTGAACTTCTCCTTCTCCTATTCCTTAGATATTTCTACATTTTTTGATGTACCAAGACTCTCAAAAATTGAAGGGGCTTAGACTTCTTCTAGGATCCCTGGTCCAAAAGGTTAGCAGTTCGAATCCACCAGTGGCTCTGCAGGAGAAAAGACCTGGCAACCTGCTCCTGTAAAGATTACAGCCTAGGAAACCCTGTGGGGCAACTCTGCTCTGTCATATAGGGTTGCTATGAGTCAAAAATCTACTCGACAGCACAGAAAAACACAGACCTCTTCTTAATGTCTATCACTTTTCCTTACTCACTACTGCGGGGTTTTTTTTTTGCCTATCAATAACTTTTTCCCCTCATCTTTTACTGGAGTGTATACACCATATTTTAATGCAAATAACGTGTACCTTCTGCGTTTGTTTGCCATCCTTGC